ATTCCAGAGAAAGCAGTATCTACTTCTCTGTTCAGAAGTGAAAATCCAAAAAAATTTATGTAATGATGTCTTTCTGACTAGAATACATTTTTCTGAGATTAACCCCGGATACTTGTTTAGATTTACAGCATATTTTTTCATACCATCCGTCCAAATGAATAAGTAATGTCTCGACCACTCAACCAACTCACCTTCAGTGCTTTCCGATGTATCAAAGTTGCCGAGGACGGGAGTGAGTCGACTCCCAGAGGGGTCGATTTTAAAGCGACAACGTTTCTGTGTTTCCCCTTGAGGCACCTCGACGCTCTCACCAAATGTGGTCGCTATTGGGGGCGGCTCAATGTCAACGATGTTTGGCGTGCTCTTCACGAATGCTCCACAGGTTCTTGGCGAGTTTATTCGTCTTGGAGACTGATGGTAAACACCACTGTGGTATTTAAGTTGGCCGTAAGGATACTCTATCTCGTAAAGCTCGGGATTTAAAGTCATGTAACATCGACCAGCGAAATCCAGGCCAGTCTTGCTGCCAGCAACAGCGGCAGGAGTGACGGCCGTGACATTATTTGGAAGGGTAGCGCACATCTGTTGAACGCAACGTGGACTCGGATTACCCGCCACCGCTTCAGCTGTGTAGACCATTGCACCTGTGGGACTGGGCTCAGTGCTGTGATTGGCTCGTTGGAAGGTTGTAGTCGTGGGTACGGAAAGATGTGGGGAGACTATCAGTGTTGGAGAAAATCGACCAAATGTGCTGTCTGCTGACTTTAAGATTGTATCTGCTGCAAAGTAACGACATTTCAAGAGTGAAACTTTTATGATCTGATTATTTTTTGTCGAAAATACAACAAGGTAATCATATTAAAGACAATCATTCCGACTTAACTGCGGTTCATTCGGGCAAATCACTTTATTTATTTACTTTGGACTCAGATTTAATGTTTGCAAGGAAACTCGGTAAGTAACTCGAATATGAGTGAGAATATGGCACATAACCTTTGTAAGGCGTTACGAAATAGTCGGATATCGAACACACAGAACTGAAAAATACGTCTGTATTACGTAGATAGGGCTGGAAGTTAAGTGTCCACATAGCAGCTAACAAAGTTTACCTGCATGCCTCCTAGAAAAAAAATACCAATTGGAAGTTCTGTTTATATTCTTATTAAAGGTGAGTTTCCGGTTTTCTACTCCTATTTACTTACAACTTCAGTAGTGTTTTGTTAGTGTGTGTCTTTAAACTTTCCATGTGCAATTTCAGACGATCTCATACGTGATCGAGTAGATGACCGCTGATGGACAATAGAAATCATGTGCCGACATGTAGCTGCTGAACTACTCCAGTAAGTGCATGTGAATGTGGCCAAATTTAATACCTTACAGGCAAAAAAAGGTTTCCCTCGTACGATCAAATGCTTTATCGCACCTAACAATTTGACACATTATAGGATTCTTAAACAAGCTCATACGGAAACATCTCGTTTAACTATTAGCAAGACCGAAAATTAAAATGGAAGAATGTGAAACGGGGTTGTATTTATGGGTTAAACAACTAGTTCTGAAGCTTATAGCATTTGGAGATAGTTGTAGATGAATGGTAGGTATTTTTAGCAGACTGACATGAGTTAGTAAATCCAGCATGCCGAGTTATCGACAAATGCCCAGTCCAGAATTAGGTAGGCTGTTAGGATCATTTTATAGAAGTTTGTAATAGGTTGAAGGAATCACGTGTGATATTTCACCAGAAGTAAATGCTAAAAGTCCAGTTAAACAGAAGCAATCAAGTGTCATATGAATTGTCTTACCAGCTGCAGTCATGTAATGCGAATGTCTATCGAAAGCAGCGGTTTCAGACTTGGAAGATTCCAAAGTGAATCCCGACTTGGCGCTGGAGTCCTGTGAGGGTGGTGGAAGCCAGGCACGTGGTTTTACCTGCGCAACACGAACTATGCCCACACCTGCCGAGGCGCTCCCATCCATTTGCGGGTCTATACCCACCTCCCTCGTTGAATGGATCTGTCTGCAGCGCAGAAGCACAATCGCCATTATGAGGAGAACTGAGACAAGGAGAGTGATGATGATCATCACAATCATGATTAGTAGATCACGATCTACATAACCACTCTGCTGCTTGAAGTAGCTGTTAGAGGAAAAATGCTGGTTCTTTCCACCTGTACCAACTAAGTCGGCCGACTGACTATCAAGCGGAAACGCTTCGATGGACTGGACGATGATTCGAAGGAGTGAAGTGTTGCTTCGCGGTGGATCACCCCCATCCGTGGCTTTGAGTGAGAGAGCAAAAGAACTTGGCGCAGCTTGTTCGTTCATTGAGTTATTGCCGTTGTTGACTTCCAATGCTTTTGTTAGGTAGAGCGTTCCAGAGAGGTGATCTAGGTCAAAGTACTTCTGACTGTTACCACGGATTATCTCGTATTCAATTTGTCCATTCACTCCGATATCGAGATCGATGGCTTCTAGTCGTGCAACGACCATCCCAACTGTGGAATAAGCAGAGATGTTGATGCTAGCAGCTTGGGGACCGGGTGGGGGGTATACCCACTGGGGTCCATTGTCATTAACATCCTCAATGCGGATGATGACAGTGGCGAAAGCAGAGAGAGGTGGTTCACCGGAATCCATAGCCACCACCGAGAAGGTGAGGAGGGGAATTTGTTCCCGATCGATTGGCACAGAGTTGGTGTAAAGCTCTCCTGTCGGTGTGATCGTAAACAGACGACTGGGTTGAATACCTTCAAGAAGCGAGGAGGTTTCCTCATCGTTAATCTGATAGCGCACGCGGTTGTTCTTCCCGTCCGCATCGCGATCCGTGGCGTGTACTTTTCCTACCTAAAATAGGGGCAGTAGTCAATCCCCTACTCACAAAGGGTTAAAGCAGGCCGATGGACGTTGATGATTAAGTTCGCGTGCAAAAGCTTGAAGACTTCAATAAACCACATTCTGTCTATCGCTCGGCAGTTTTCGCAAGGGACAATAATTCAGTATAATTACGATATTGTTCGAGAATTAAATGTGATTCGACTCAGTCACATCATCAGGGTAAATCCGTAATCTAATATGGCAAGTGAATGAGAACTCTTTGAATACCAAGCAGCATTTCATCCGACGCAAGTCACATGTGAGAAAATGAGAGTTAATCTGTACATTGGATAAAATGGATACTGAATCGGTTGTTTAAAGTGATATAAAATGTTTTTAATTTTCCATAGTTCTATCGAAGGAGACATGCTACTTTGAGCTATTGCCAGGAATGAGTTTAAACTATCTCTAAGTATTGGCAACAGGACTATTTTTAGCATTCTTATTATTTTTTGTTAAGATGTTTTTAATGAATCGAATCTAATTCCAGTGACGGACTTGGGAAAAACCATTTAATTTCCTGCATTCAAGTAATCGGTCTTTATGATATGTTTGTAAGAGTAATATACCATTAAAAGAGTTCGGCAATCCTTATTCATCCATGATATGCAGAATTTCTTCTTTATCTGTCAGTAAAAAGGGTTTAATTTATGTAAATACATCCATATTATGGGTTAAGTTTTTTGCAAAGAACTTAATCAGTTTTGAGTCGGAGAGGTGTGGAGTGTGGATGAAATTATATTGTTTCACCTGCTCAAAGCACGGCGGGGTTAGAGGTCATCATTTTGTTAGCTCACGCGATATCCACTGGTCTGGAGCTACCTCCCTTCTTCTCTCTTTCCCTCTGCCACTCCTATCGCCATCTCCAACGCTAAACTGAGTGCAGCTTGGGAAAACCCACACGTGTGAACATTATCGGTCGTAAAATGCTCACCGGATGGGCGATACCGTTCTTCCTAATTCTTTCATTTAAATAGGGGAATTTATACCCTTGGAAAAGTCTAATAGTGCCATACAACATTGTCACCATCAAAGATACGAAAACCTAGGTGCTAAACAGTTTTCAGAGCAGTTTGCTTGGATATGTGGCACAGAAATTCTCGCAAATCTACTACGTTTTCGGCGCAATTGTTCACCATGAATTATACACTTGCTAAAGACCAAACATCTACAGTCGAGGTCGATCTAGCTGGCACCCGAAGGTGTTTAAGAAAAGCTTCTTCCTGAGGGGCTGCCCCATGCTTACTCTTTCAGGATAACCAAAAGAGCTCATAGCTCATGTAGCAAAGTTTCCTAAGAGAAAACCTCATATTATACCTTAAAATTGGAGAGAAGACGGAAGGAAGGATGGGAAGAGGGAAGGTGGGATGGAAAGTGAGAAACACTGCGTCGCTCTCATCACCTCGTAATATTTCTCTAAATGTTGACTAACGCCCTCTCCTGGCGTTAGATAATAAAGTATAAAATAGAATAGACAGTTTGGAAATGGAGCTGAGATAGGAATTGAGGTGGCTAGGAAGAGTTTATTTTCCTTTCTTCAACAATAAGCTTTTTACAGAAATTAAAGCGCTTTAGTAAGCTTGTACCTCTTTGATAAAGGATTATCAGTCGCAAGTGGTTAATTTAGACGTCACCACAAATTCACGGTGGCCGAATCAAGTTTCGATCGCAGTTGCCTCGAAATTCGGGAGGACAGTCTAAGATGGATCTTGATCTGACGTGACTGTGAACGCGAAGGTCAAATATGAACATAAAAACCAAATAAAGAGTGAATCCTTTGTTTCTCAAATACAAAGTAAACTGATATAGTTATACATTTCGGAAGTATTCAGCAAGGAAACGTATAAAATCTACCACCAATAATAAGTGGGGATTTATCACAGCTACTCAGTTTTACAGTACATTCTTCAGACTTACAAAAGTGTAGATAAAACTGTGACTTCTCTTCGAAGGCGAATGCATTAGGAATTGCAAACAAATAGTTCATTTTCAAATTGCTTAGAGTAAAGGTATTCTATAACCAAAAACTAATAAGGTTCTCTGTCGTTGAGCACGCTTTAAATAGCTTATCACAATTTGGTGGGGATCTTGTAACGTTCTTGTGTCACGCCTTATTTAGTTGGAGTGCTAGGTCGGTAGCATTAGTGCAGGCACAAACAATCTCGTCATTCAGCCAGCCGCGAGTTTATTGTCAGCTTGACATCTGGTTGGATAAATTTACGACTCATTAGGGAGCTAGTGCGCCGTGGTGGATGTTGTGGCAATTCTACAGAAGACGAAGGCTGACACTACAGTCATGGGCGCTGTTTCTCAAGGTTTCGTTGGCAAATGCACAGTAAGCATTCAACCCTAGCCTGCGTTTTATATCATCTGAGTTCGCTGTCTACAACTAGATACGTTTCAGACAGGAAGTTAAGCCTAAGATGCTGAAAAATTATAAGAACATTGACCAGATTTTCAGCATAAAAATGAATGTGATCTTTGTGGAGCCGGAATTACCTATTAAGGCCGATGGCGATTTAGGGGTCGTAAAAAAACGTAGAGGCTGAGATCGCTTTAATAAGTTGGTAAAACAGCCAAATCATCGAGTATTGAAGGGTAGAGATGCACCTCATTAACTTCAAAAGTTCCAGTGCCAGAGCTGAAAAAGATGCTCGCAGATAGGCAGGTAGCGACCCAACACACGCGGTGCGAGAAAGCTAACAGACATCAGGCTATAGTTAATCAAAGTTTAGGGAGAATCAAGGCAAATTTAATGCGCAATGTAAAAACTGCTCGACATTTCTCCAGCGTTTACATACTCAACCTTCCAAGTTAAATACAAATCACATTCAACGCCCTTGCTTTGAGTGGATTGCTGAAATGCAATGACTCCCTTTAGGCAATATTTTAGGGAACAGGTTTCATTTTGTAGGGACATTTTTCGATGCAGCCCTTTAAGATAAAAAATAGTGTCTCCATTTTCTTGGTGGGCCAATATGCTTAACATATTTTTCCTAAATTTGTCACTTTCTTAAAGTGTAGTACTTCCGTTGTCTGAGCTTGCAAGTACGCCAGGTATACAACAAAAGGGTAGTAAGGCGTTTTTGCCATTGGAAAAATGCGTCTTACTTCTTAAATCAAACTCTGGATCCCTAACAAGCCGATGACAGCTAGAGAATGAACTTGAGGTCAATAACAAGCAATGAAATAAACAAAAACAAACTTTAAAATAATACAATTAGTAAACTACCACAACGAACACGATTGGGAGTGAGTAACAGGACGCTTTCAAACATCAAAATGCATTAGTTTCTACTCTCTTTTAGTGCATGTCAGGCTCTTCCAACTGATAATAATGCTCAAGAATCAGAAACTAGATGCTACCAGTGGAACTCAGTATTGTTAATTTCATGAGGCCAGGTTAGAGCACCCTTTTTAATCGTGCCACCTCCAACTAAATAATGCTTTGATATTTAAATTTGTCAATTTCCTGATTGGAGATAAAAATGTAAATTGTCCTATGATAGTTTGGAAAGTGATAAGCCAAACATTTTTCCCTTAGAGGAAAAATCATTTGTTGCAAAGGGTCGATATCTTGCACCATTTAGTGGAGTGAAAATTCAACTTACGCAGAGACATTTAAAAAGATCGCTTTGATGACAATCACCTTGCAAGGAAAATTAACTCGACGTTGAAAGAAAACTGAAACCATTTTATTTGTACATCGGCATGACATCGCAGCTGTGAATAGCTAATAGTGAGTGAGTGCCTCGACTACTACATGTTTGCATCATAAAATGCTCAGAAACCAGTGGCGCTTTAAATGCTACCTTTGCAAAACTATATAGGCTTGGCCACAGATTCTAAAAGCAGAAGGAGTAATCCCCACCCATGGCCAAGCTGCTTCACGCTTTTCAACTCCCTGTGCCCGGAAATGGGACACTGTTCCTAAGTGAATTTTCCCCGCATTTTCACGGACCAAGACATTCGTTCGATTTATTTCGACCAATAACAAGTTTATATGCAGCTGAAGTGCTAAGAAATTTTCTAAACACTGCATTTTGAAATAGCGTTTAATTAATTTCCCTGGAAGAGTGAACAGTTGGTTTCACTTTAAGACGGCTGGGTGCATTTGGGTACACATCTGCAGAGGTGACAAATGTTAACTGGAGGCCTACTGAAACACCAAAACAATGCTCTTCCTTGGCAGCATTCAAACACTAAATATTCAACGAAAGCAAAGATATTACTCATGCTCTTGTCTTCGAAACCACTTCGCGCCCTTCAGTCCACCCGAATGACAATACTATTAACAAGAACCATAATTTTACGCAATTTCGTCAGATGATCTGTAGCTTCTGCCACAAGGAAGTAGTCAGTCGACAAAATTTAAGTCAATGCCGTACCGTTTCACCAGAATTTGATCGCACATATTACCTGGACTGAACACATCGCACCCATTCAAAGGGCTGGATTCAGAAACGCCAGGGGCTTAACGACAATATGCGCAAGCTGGTGGACCTAGAGGTGCAAAGTACCGAACAATGCAAGCAGTGGAACAACAGCTTATTTATGCTTAAGGTCTCCTTCTGGTTCATTTATTATGCATCTTCTGCACGTATTTATAGTTCATGAAATATGTAATGCTTGGTTTTATCCTTTAAAGATGTGTGTGAGAGCAATAAAGCATGCCGAAGCAACACATTTCAGATGTAGACATTATGATATTTCAAAGTGCCGGCGATACCTTTTTACTTTGTGCCTTTAACTTTGTTTTGATAGACACATTCAATGCTACTAATTCTTGAAACTTTATTAAATACAGGGCGGAAGTTAACGTGGTTCTATGTGCATGATGGTCTCGTTTAAAACGCCATCTCCAGAATTTAGGTAAAATAAGTAAAGTCGTTAGGCGATACCAAATACAATTCCAAACTGCTTGACTCAGATTTCCAATTAACTCTGGAAAAGCCATGCAACAATGGGCCTTTTAATGCGGAGCTCTTACAGGCTTCCGATAGTTAAAGTAGCATCACGATGCATGTTCTACTCATTATAAAAACTTCATTTCAGATTGAAAAAACAGTCACAAATAACACTGGTAGCATTGAACTTCGTGCCCAATTGACATGAACCCAACCAATTCACTCTTCCTTAAAATGAAAAGCTTAATGTGGGATCACTAATTTGCTTCTTTCATTTACTATGACATAAAAAAGGTATTTATTTCAATTATTTCTACTAGGTTTTGGAGTGTTGCAGTCAGCCCAGGAAATTCAATCATCGCCTTTTGAAAGTTGATAGCACGCGGCTTCATTAACCCCAAATCGCTTAAATTGTTTCCCCGTTGGCGCCACTGTTGTTGCAGTTTGATGAAATCATAATTGAGACACCTCATAAATAATTTTCCCAACATAAAAGTTGCGTTGATGCACCCTTAACTGCGTAAAAATCATAC